GGTGCAGTTTGGGGGGCGGGGGTCTGGAGCTGACGGCCAAGAAAGAATTTGTGAGAGTCTTTGGTGCACAGAGGTGGTTTTAACAGACCAGGGGGACAGGAGCCTGGGCAGAAAGAGCGGCCCTGGGGTCCCTGGGGTCTCAGTCTGTTAAGCGTCCGACTTCGGCTCAGGTCATGATCTCAGTTTGTGGGTTCGAGCCCCGCATCGGGCTCTGTGCTGGCAGCTCAGAGCCTGGAGGCTGTTTCGGAGTCTGTATCTCCCTCTCTCTCTGCCCCTACCCTGCTCACGCTGTCTCTCTCTCTCTCAGAAATAAATAAACCATTAAAAATTTTAAAAGAAAGAAAGAAAGAAAGAGCGAGTGGCCCTGGGTTGTGAGGAGTGATGGAGTTGGTGGAGGGCGGGTAAGGAAAGAGAGAAGTTTCCAAAAGGGCTTTCATACGCTAAAGGCAAGTCCTTGCTGTTGTGGAGGTAAAGTTATTTTTCCCTCTAGCGAACAGTAACATTCAGAGGTAGGGGTTTCCTGCGGGAATGTTCTACCCTGCATGTACCTCAAGTATTTGTCAACGGGCTGCACGTGATAAAGAAGTTGAATTTTATCTACACTTTCTTCTCACCTGCTTCCCCCTATCGTCATGGAGGGAGGGTGATGTTAGGGCTCCAGGAAAGTCTCTGGGTCTCTGGCGAGGGCTCTTATTCTTGTAAATCATTCAGAGTTGCCAACTGATGGAGACTATCAGTTAACCATTTGTTTCCCCCTTTCCTTTGTCCTTGGGCAGCCAGGACCCCCCCCCCCCCGCAGTCCCACAGACCCCACCTGCTGTGGGGGGTGGGGGGGGTGTTGCCTGTGCAGCTTGCCCTTGGCTCCTGCAGCTACTGTCCTGGGACATTAATCAGCCTCTTGTGTTCGGGGTTAAAAGAAGCTGTCTGGCCCTGCGGGGGCTACAGAGCTGTAGGGACCCAATGGGAGTGGCGGCCGGCAGGGGAGGGGCTGGGAGCGGGTGAGTGTGAGGGTGAGTGTGCAGACTTGGAGGGGCGGCTCGGAGGGGGCTGGGGGTGGGCAGGAGACATGTGTGCCCCGGACCCTTCCAATGGCATTGGCACGGGGATGGCGAGGGTGGGTGAAGAGGGAGCGAGCGTGTGGCGGGCTGAGGACCAAGTGCAAGCCCGTGCAGCCCCCCACCCCCCACCAGGTGGGAGGTGTGTGACACCCTCAGGCACTCCTGGCTGCCCGGGGACACAGGAAAGAAAACAAACAGCTGACTGATAGAGATCACAGTCATACAGAACATGAGTCTCCATCAGTTTACGAATATCTTAGTAAATTACAAGAAAAAGGCAATCTCATCAACAGCCTCATCTCCAGAAACGTGTAGGCTGTTTCCTGGGCCCCAACCTCACCCTCCGTAACGACACGGGGAGCGAAGGCAAGAAGAAGTGGGAGGTAAAATTAATCTCATTACCTGCAGCCCGCTGACAAATACTTGAGGCACATACAGACCAGAACATTCCTCCAGGACCTCCCTACCGTCCTAATGCTAATGCTTTGCTAGAGGGAGAGCCAGCTCGGCTGGACCACGGCCAGGCCTCAGGTCTCTGCAGAGCCCTCGTGACAGCAAAGCCCCTCTGGAGGCCTCCCTTTTGACCCCACCTCCCCAGCTCCACCGTGTAAGACCCCCACTCTTCACAGCGCAGCACAGCTCTCTCCGTCCGCGGGTCCCGTCCCCGTGCTTTAACAAGGTCCCCTTCTGCACCAAAGACGTCTTCGAGAATTCTTCCTCGGCCGTCTGCTCCAGACCCCCCGCCATCACCTCAAACCTCATCGGTGGGAAGTGGAAGCCAAAGTGCTTTCTGACTGACGAGCCCCAAGGTGACGGATGGGCGCTGACTTCAGAGGGGAGCGCCCAGGACAGACGGCAGCGAGCACCCATCTGCTCTGGGGCCCTTCCCGGGGCCTGGGCTTCTCCCTCCTACTTCCAGATCACAGGATCACTGTGACCGCGGTCTCTTCTCCCAAATCCTGACTCGGCACAGGCCTCTGCGTACAAAGCTCTCGGTTTTGGAATTTCTGCACCCTCCCTTCCCCTCCCTTCCCGTCCCTCCCCTTCCTTCCTTCCCTTCTCCCTCTTTTCTTTTTCCTCTCAAAAAATAATTTATTGAGGTGAAATTCGCATAAAATAACACGAACCATTTCAAAGTGAACAATTCAGGTGCATTTAGTACCTTCACAATACCGTGCCGCCACCACCTCTATCCTGTTCCAAAATGTTTTCATCTCCGTAACCAGTTTCTCCCCAGGACCCCCTCCCCCAGCCCCTAGCAACGGCCAGCCACTCTGCCTTCTGTTTCCATGGCTTTATCTGTTCTAGATATTTCATATAAATGCAATCCTATAATATGTAACGTTTTGTGTCTGTATTTTGAATAGCAAGTACATTGGCAAGGTTTCTAACTGAAAACTCGGTAGACCCATAGTGAAAAGTTCTCTGCCCCATGGTCCCCTAGTTTCCGTCCCTGGAGGTGAAGAGTAACGTCAGTATTTTCGTTTGTTTATTCTTGTGTGTCTTTTTCTATCTTTCCAGATGTATTTTAGGTATATGTGAGTAAATGCAGATACATCTACATACATATTCTATCTATCATGTATCTATCATCTACCTATCTACCTATTCACCTGTTTGTTTGGATCTGATTTTGTTTTCTCCTAACAACATTATCTCAGAGGTGGTTTCATATCAATATATAAAAAGCTTCCTCATTCTTCTCTTTCTAAATGACTGTCTTGTATTCTTGTGAATGGATGTATCATAATTTATATAACCATTCCTCCCACTGCTGGACTTTTAGGCTGTTTCCAATCTTTTGACATTATAAACAACGTCACAGTCAGTCACCTTGTACATGGGTCAATGTATCTGTAGATAAATTAGGAGTCCAATATTCTGGGTCAAACGGATACATTTAGGGCAAGATAAGAGTGGACACCTGTTACATTTTACAAGAAATAACACTCATGGTTCTCAGACTTAAGGGATTTCACGGACACGGTTTCCACAGTGTGACATCTGATATCTTGACCGTTTCACCATCTCATGTATGCAGCTCAGAGAAGGGTCGGGTCAGGGCGCCATGAACAGAATTGTGAAGACCAAGATAGTTAACATTGCTAACAGTATTTTTTAAAATCCTTTTTTCATTTCAGAAAATCACCAGTAATTACAGAAAAAAAACAATTTTTCCCACGTGTGTATATTATCTCCATACACACAAATTACACCTTGTCACATACCGCATATTAAATATTTCTTTTTTAAAATGTTTAATCTTTTTTTTTCTTTTTTTTTTGAGAGAAAGAGCGAGCAGAGGGGCAGAGAGAGAGAGAGAGAGACAGAATCTGAAGCAGGGTCCCGGCTCTGAGTTGTCAGCACAGAGCCCGATGTTGGGCTCGAATCCACAAACAGTGAGATCATGTCCTGAGCAGAAGTCGGAGGCTTAACCAACCGAGTCACTCAGGCGCCCCTGCGTATTAAATATTTCTTAAGCGCTTACCTATGTCAGGTGGGTAGCATGTTGTTTCAGTCTTTCAGCATTTCCGTGTTGAAAGGTCAAAGCCTCATCACAGACTGGCATTTGTTTTTCTTCCTATGTTTTCAAGTTTTCCCTTTATTTATTTAGTTTTTATTTAAATCCAAGTTAGTTAACATATAGTGTAATAATGATTTCAAGAACAGAATTTAGCAATTCATCACTTACATATAACACCCAGTGCTCATCCCAACAAGTGCCCTCCTTCATGCCCATCAGCTTAGACCATACCCTCACCCAACACCCCACCAGCAATTCTCAGTTTGTTCTCTGTATTTAAGAGTCTCTTACGGTTTGTCTCTGTCTCTATCTTATTTTTGCTTCCCGTCCCCTATGTTCACCTGTTTTGTTAAATTCCACATATGAGTGGAATCATATATTTGTCTTTCTCTGACTTATTTTACTTAGCATAATACTGTCTAGTTCCAACCATGTTGCTGTAAATGGTAAGATTTCATTCTTTTTGATCGCCAGTAATATCCCACTACACACACACACACACACACACACACACACACACACCACACCTTCTTTATCCATTCATCCAGACTGACATTTGGAACTTTATCCACTTTGAGAGCAGAAACTGCATATTTTTTCATTGGCACATAAATTCAATAAATGTTTTTTGAGTGAATAACAGACCGACTAAAAGAATGGGGACAAAGGGCAGAGAAAGTTTAAGATGCTCGTGCAGAATGTTCGTCGGACGTTACATAACGACTGGCACAGTTGCAGAGCTAGTAAAATTTGGCTCGACTGCAAATTCTAACTTTCTGCTTCCCTCCCCCTTCCAGTCACAGGCCAACTCAACGTGCCCTCCTCTTCCAGGCAGGAGACGAGGCTGGTCTCTAAAGTTCCTGGAAGGCAGAGCCGGTGTCTGTTCAGTTCTACAACCGTGCGTCCAGCACTTGGCCTCGCGCAGGGTCGCTGGAGGTGCTCGATGGACGCAGAAGGAACGCGGGCGCGACGGCGGCGACTGGGCTGTGCGGGCTCCGCGGGGCGAGGCCGGGTCGCCGCGCAAGGCTGGGCGGACCTTGTACCCCGGCCCGCCCCGCCCCCGGCCCCCCTCCCGCCCCGCCCCCGGCCGCACCCCCGCCCCTCCCCCGCCTCCGGCCCCCCTCCCGCCCCCGTTCCCGCCCCCCGCCCCCAGCCCGGCCCGCCCCCCGCCCCCCGCCCCACCTCCCGCCCCCGCTCTCGGCCCACCTCCTGCCCCCGCCCCCCGCCCTCGACCCCGGCCCGCCCCCCGCCCACCTCCCGCCCCGCCCCCGGCCCCGCCCCCCGCCCCTCGCCTCGGCCGCAGCCCCCGCCCCCGGCCCGGCCGCAGCCCTCCCTCCAGAGCCGCGCGGCGCCTGCGCGGGCGCGCGCCAGGTGGGCAGGCCCCCGGGCGGGGCGCGCGCTGGTTGGCGGCGGCGGCGGGCCGCGCACCCGGAAGAGCCGCCGACTCCGCGAGCGCAACAGGCGGCCGAGGGGGGCTGCGCGGCGCCGAGCGAGCCCGGGATGGACAAGCTGAAGCAGGTGCTCAGCGGCCAGGACACCGAGGACCGCGGCGGCCTGGCCGAGGTGAGCGCGCCCGCGGCGGGCCCGGGGGCACCTGGCACGGCCCTCCTGGCCGGCGGCGCCCCCTGCGTCCCGCGGCCGGCCCGCCGGGCGCGGGTTCAGCGCCCCCTGCGCCGCCACAGGTGCCGCGCTCGGGGCGGGCGGGCGGTCTGTGCGTGCGCGGTGCCCGGCGCCCCCCGAGCGCTCCCGGCCCCGGCGGCCCGCTGGGGAGGGCGGCGCCGGAACCGAGGCGCGAGAACGCCCGCGGGGGCCGGCGCCGTCCCCGGGGTGCCCCCTCCCGCCCCGCCGGCCTCCCCGAGCCCCGGGGCCGGGCGGGGGGAAGCCTGCGTCGGGGGGGTGTCGCCGGGGTCCGGCGACGGTCCCGCAGCTTCCCTTCCCGCTGCCCCCGCGCGGCGGCCCCTAGTTGTGCGTGGGACCCTCCCCCCGACCTCGGGCCGCCCTGGTGGCTGAGGCCCGTCTCCACCGCCGAGCCGTGTGCACGGCAGCCTGGCCCGCAGTCGGCACCTGGGGCCGCGCCCGTGGGGCCCCGTCCGCCGCGCAGCCGCACGGACGGTTCCCTTCGTCTCTCGAGCGCTGTTCCGCCCTGGTCTTCCTTTCTGGACGCAGACTGACACTTTACGTTTGGGGTGCGTTCCACGGGCCTCGGTTTCCCCAGCTGGAGAGTTGTAGGCCGGTGCGTGGACGCCGGGTGGGTCTGCGCACGCCTACACCCCCGCGCCTCGGCGTCCTGGGTGCACGTCCCGCCTGTCGTTTCAGGGGCTTCTTTCTGCAAGTGTGGGTTTGAGGTTTTGCATAAAGGATTCGGGGGGCACCTGGTGTGAGGCGCAGGGATGATCCGTGTTCCTCTCGCCCCTGGTTCGCAGCCCGCTTTCCTCAGACAGTCGCAGCCTCGCTGCGTTTGGCCAGGAACCTTCTCTCCAGGTCGCGGAGCCCGAGGCCTTCGTCCCGGCTGCCGGGCGGACAGCTTGGGAAGAGGGAGCCCCGAACGGCTGCCCACGGGCAGTCCAGCAGTGTCGCTCCCACACTTGGCGAAGCCCGTTCTTTGTTTCTCGCAGGGGTAGGAAGACTGGTGTCTTCTGATTGTATTTTCTCTTCGGTGGGAGGTGGAGCACGTTAGTCAGGAGTCTAACCTGATTGTGGGGGGGGGCATTGCCAGGACTCTAACCTGATTGTGGGGGGGCTTGCCAGGAGTCTAACCTGATTGTCCGGGGCGGCATTGCCAGGAGTCTAACCTGATTGTCGGGGGGGGGGGTTGCCAGGAGTCTAACCTGATTGTTGGGGGTGGGGATTGCCAGGAGTCTAACCTGACTGTCGGGGGGGGGGGCATTGCCAGGAGTCAGGTTATGACTGTCAGGGGGGGACATTGCCAAGAGTCTAACCTGATTGTGGGGAGGGCATTGCCAGGAGTCTAACCTGATTGTCGGAGGGGGGGATTGCAGCCTGGTCACAGCGTCACATGACTCATGTTGGAGAGGAGGTTTTCCTTAGCACAAACCAGGTGATTACCTGTCGGGTCCTGAAGCCCTGTTCCCGTCCCTAATTGTGCCTTTCTGTGCGGGGTCACGTGGTGCCGCCTGTTCTGCAAGTGCTGGGGGGGGTGGGGGGGGAGGGGAACTGCAGTGTCATGAGCCCACTTTATTATTTTTTTTAATGATTTTTTTGTTTACTTTTGAGAAAGAGACAGCACTCAAGCAGACAGAGAGAGGAGACAATCCGAAGCAGGCTCCGGGCTCAGAGCTGTCAGAACAGAGCCCGACGTGGGGCTCGAACCCACAAACCCCGAGATCATGATCTGAGCTGAAGTCGGACACTTAACCAACTGAGCTCCCCAGCGCCCCGTTTTTTCTAATGTTTTAAAATTTATTTTTGAGAGAGCAAGCGAGAGATGAGACCACTTTAAATATGTGTGGGTGTATGAGGCTGGAGGAAAACCCCGTCAGATCGGCTGCCCAAAATACTACCTTCTGCAGGGAAGTCAGGCCGTTCTGCAGCCCTGCTGGCCACACCTGGAGGAGCCTCTGGCCCTTCACGTCAAGCTTCTGGTTTGACGGGAAGTTTGGAGACAGGGTTCAAAGCAGGTTCCTGAGCTGGGAGCAGTCAGGGTGGAAGGGGCTGCCTGTCTAGTGACCCTTGCAGCTGCTGCCACCACCTTCCTTCCTTCATCAGCGTGTGGAAGTGTGGCTGGCCGCTTCCCCCCTGGGGCTGGCTCGAGACTGACGGATACACGCTGTGAACCTTGTGTGACGACACGGGGTGGCTGGGCAGGAGGCAGGATTGCAGGTCTCAGTGGCAGCTGCCTGTCCCCAGCTTGGAGCGGTGGCCGCTCTCATCGGGTGGACGGACTCAGAAGGTCTCTGGTGGGAGAACTCGGCTGTCCCCCGTGACGTGGCGGCGGGGACCCTGGCTCCCGTTTTAGCAGCGTTGCTTTGGGAAACCTTGGCTCCCTTTGACCTTTACTCCTGGGAAGGGTTAGTTATGGCAGCAGAGAGTCAGATGAGTGAGGCCGTCATGATCGAACTAGGATTTGTCTCCCACTTAGGTGGGCTGGCCGACACTGGCACCCTGCGGCACCCTTGTGTGTGTGGGTACGTCCAGCTGCGGCACCCCTGTGTGTGTGGGTACGTCCAGCTGCGGCACCCCTGTGTGTGTGGGTACGTCCGGCGGGGGGCACCCCTGTGTGTGTGGGTACGTCCGGCGGGGGGCACCCTGTGTGTGTGGGCACGCCCGGCGGGGGCACCCCTGTGTGTGTGGGTACGTCCAGCGGGGGGCACCCTGTGTGTGTGGGCACGCCCAGCGGGGGCACCCCTGTGTGTGTGGGCATCCAGCGGGGGGCACCCCGTGTGTGTGGGCATCCAGCGGGGGGCACCCCGTGTGTGTGGGTATGCCCAGCGGGGGCACCCCTGTGTGTGTGGGCACCCAGTGGGGGCCCGGCGCAGATGAGACCCGAGGCCTCCGGTGCCGGTGGGAGCAGCTGGTGCCGAAGCTCGGCGGGCTGGTCCGGGAGACGATGCCCAGGGGACCCCGCCGCCTGAGCGCCTCCCCGCTCCCCGGGCCCCCGCCTGGCGGGCCGCGTCCTGCGGGGCTGCGGGACGGTGCGCGGCAGGGGGACAGTCCCGCCTCCGGGGATGTTCAGCCCGAGGCCCAGCGGCTCCTCCGCGGCCGGAGAGGAGATTCCGGATGGGTGAGGAGCTGGCGTCCGTGACTCCGGAGTGGGTCGGATCCTTTGCTCCCGCCTTCCGCGGCGCAGACGCGCACCCTGCCGCTGATTACCTGCCTCCGGGCGCCCGAGGGAAGCCTCGGTCGGTTAAGCGTCTGACTCTTGGTTTCTGCCAGGTCATGATCTGGCGGTTTGTGGGTTCGAGCCCCGCATCGGGCTCTGTGCTGCCAGAGCAGAGCCTGCTTGGGAGTCTCTGTCTGCCCCTTCCCTGCACGCTCGCTCGCTCTCTCAAAATAAATAAATATTAAAAAAAAATTATGTGCTCCCCTTGTTTTCGGTGCTTAAATATGCATATGTGTGTATGTAATCAGTTTTTTAAAAATTTCAGGTCGTCGAGGCATCTTCGTTAAGCTGGGGCACCAGAATAAAAGGCTTCATTGCATGTTTCGCTGCAGGAATTGTCTGCTCACTGCTGGTAAGCTGTCCCTCCCCCATGGTTTCTTCTCCCCGGGGCCTCCTTCCCTCTGTCGTCTTTTCTCTCTGGCGCTTCGTGAGATGCCTGAGTAAGACGAGAGAGGTGAGGGAGGTGCCGAGGAGGGCGGGGAGGGAAATGCATCTCTCTGCTGGCTCTTGTTTGGGTGACTGTTTGGGTGACCTTGGCAGGAGGGGCTCCTCCCGTGCAAACACTCTGTGCTTTGTCTTGCAGGGAACGCTGCTGCTCTGGGTCCCCAGAAAGGGACTGTACCTCTTTGCAGTGTTTTACACCTTTGGTAACATCGCATCGATTGGGAGGTAACAGTGTTCTGTTTCTTTTTTGCAATCTAACCACGGCCAGTCACTCACTCGACTGGGAATATGGGTGAGGATTGTGCATGAGGGAGGGGCAGGAGATGCTTGAATAGTTTTAAGGATTTGGTGAGAAAAGAGGTCGTTAAAATACATTACATCCAAAAAAATATGTATACATCCCACCCATATCCTATCCGTTCAGAATACTTTTGTATCTTAGTTTAATATATCTTCTGTCTGAGGGAGCCATGGCGTGGGGCGTTGAGTGGTTTCTGTGCGCCCGGGCCTGCCGCGGCTGCAGACTGAGTGTGGTTTTACGAGGGCTCACGGGGCCCGAGGCTGCAGGTGGGCTGTGTTATTGTTCTGCCAGCCCAAGACCATCTCACACCCGGCCCTGGCTCCTAAGGTCAGGGCAGCCGTTTTGCATGCTGCAGGCGCACAGATATCCCAGGTCAAGTGCAGTTCACGCCTCAGCCACGTTCTCGTGCCGCTAGCAACAGCCCTCCTCTGAGCTGGCGCTGGGGCCTGACCATGTGGCCCACCTGGAGCCTGTGCTCTGTGCTCTTTCCTCTCCCTCCTCATTCCGCCGCATCTCCATGAATGGTCTCAGAGTCCTGGGTGTCCAGGCCACGGCCCCCATTACTACTCACCATGGCGTGGTGTGGACTGCTCACGGCCTCCTTCCTGGTCTCCATGGCTGTCGGCCCCGGCTCAGTCAGTAAGCCTAGGTCACAACTGGGCTGGGCCCTGAGCCCTCGCAGACAAGTGAGGGTGGTTCCTGCTGCAGTCGAGCTCACTGGCTGGCCAGGCAGACAGACACGGACTGATGACGTGATAGGGCATAGAGAAGGGGGTGCTCAGGGAGGGGCAGCTGCCGTGATCTAACCCGGGGAGCCAGGGAGGGCTTCCTGGATGTGGTGACATCTGCGGCCTGCATCGCTTCCCATCTGAACTCCCTCAAGATTCCTCTGCTGGCTTCTCTGCCTCCTTTATTGTCCACCCCCCAGGGCATTTCCTCAGAGCTGTAGAGCCATTCGGTGACCGCCCTGCCTACCTGTCAAGGTGCCCCATTTCCTGCACACGTGCGTGTCTTCACCCGCTTCCACTCCCCAGCCAGGCAGACCTTCCTGTATTTCCCCGAACTTGTTGGTGCCCAGTCTGGGGCTAATTTCTCTGCCTGGAGTGCCACCCCGTCTGTATCTCCCTCTCTGTGCCCCACCTCCATCCTCTGGCTCATTTGTCAAGACTTTGCTCAAAAGTCTCCATTCCTGTGAAACTTCTCCTGGTTACCTCTCCCCACGCCACCAGAGTCAATGACCTCTTCTTACGGGGCTCTGTGTGCCCCAGGCATATGTGCGTGACAGCACGGATGTCACTTTATTCTGCTGACTTGTTAAAAGTCTCTCAGCCACTTGACAAGGGCCGTGCCTCTGTCCTAACTGTCCCTAATTGTTCCCAAACCTGGCTCTGGTTGTGGCTAGAAATGTTAACCAAGTGATTGAGGACATGACTCTGGCCACGTTCTAAAAGCTTAATTTATGAAGGCTTCCGATGATAAAACGCTGGCTCTCAGAGATGTCTAATCTCATCTCTAAAGCTCTCTCAAAATATTAACTTTTGGCGGGTTTTGCTCTGGGCAGACGGTGTAGGCTGTAATGTGGAGTCTAGACTGACTGTAAATGCAGGGGTGTGTTGTTAGCTCAGAAGAACTCCTTAGCAAACCCTAACAGGATCCGCTCTCCACAGCACGGCCTACGGAAGTCGTAAAGGGAGCACGTGATTATCTCCAGGGTGTGTCTGGGAGTCTGTGGCTGTTCCTGGAATGTGCTACATGTTGTGTGTGTGCTGCGTTTAGTTTTAAGGCTAGTCTTGGCTCTTCTTGTTCAGGGTTGGCTAAAGCGTGCACTCAGCTCAGAGGCCTGACTTAAGAGTGCAGCCTTGAATTCAAGTTGAAAGCTAACTGGCGCTTTACAGAGCCATAGACCTGTGTTGTAAATTTCCGTTTTTTCCATCACCCGGTAGCTAACGTTGGCTTGTTAAACACTGGCCGTTCCCAGTTTGTCCCCAGGGTGATGCCCCAAGGGGCATTTCTCTCAGGAGTCCAGAAACTGGCCAGCGGTGCCCCCCAGGGGGTAGGGAGGAGGGTCTGCGTGCGGTTCTCTCCCTCACAGGCCGCCTCTCGAGTCCCATTCGTACTGAAAGCACACGAGGGACTTCTTTTGGGGGCTCTGGATCCAGTAGATGGGTGTGTGAAGGCCAGCTCCTTAAGTTCCTAACTGAGACCGTGGACAAGTAAGTTAACCCTTCTGAGCTTCGTTGTCCCGTCTCTGAAAGTAAGTTATTACATCTCACTCACAGAGTCGCCGAGGGATGGAGTGAGGTCGAGGTGTCACATCTGGCACTTAGCAAACATTGAACAAATCATAGATGACACCATCTGTAGAATTATTCTCGGGGGATTAGGAAAGAAAATGAAATGCTCTACTTTTTAACGTAAACAACCTACACCTGTCAGATGTGGCTTTTTTTTTTTCTTTGAGAGAAGAGAGACTCAATCCCAAGCAGGCTCCACGTTGAACGCAGAGCCTGACGTGGGGCTCGATCCCACAGCCCTGAGAGCATGACCTGAGCCAAAATTAAGAGTCGGCAGGTAGTGAGAACTTTTCACCTGTTGGCTGCTCTCACCGCTGTGATTACCGCGTCCCCTTGGGGAGGCGGTGGGGGCGGCTTGGCGTTCTTGCTGGGGTTCCGTTCTGGTCTGAGTGGCGTGTGTACCTTTCCCTCGTAGCACCGTCTTCCTCATGGGGCCCATGAAACAGCTGAAGCGAATGTTCGAGCCGACGCGCCTGATTGCGACCATCATGGTGCTGGTAAGGTGCCTTCCCGCTGCGCTTGCGCTGTGGCCGTTTTTATTTCCGCTGGGTGGGATTTTTCTTTTCTTGAACCTAAAGGCCTCTTTTCTTTTTCCTTTCGCCCGATGCCTGTAGTCAGGGTGGCGGAGGGCGAATTCTGTCTGAGATTTGCCCCCAGGTGGTGTTAGGGCTCCGCCGGCTCTGCAACCCCAGAGGGGTTGTGAGAGAGTAGGGACACCCTCCTGGCGGCGGGGCAGGGAGCCGCCCCCCGGCAGAGCTTAGCGGGAGGAACGTGGACGCACAGGCTTCAGTCTCTGGAGTGGGCGTCCAGCGTCCTCCAGTGAGTGAGCTGCGCTTCCCTCGTCGTTACCTGGCATCGTGTCTGTTTCCATCCATTTTTCTTTTCTATTTTAAAAGTTTATTTATTATGAGAGAGAGAACGTGGGAGGAAGGGGCGGAGGGAGGGAGGGAGCATCCCGAGCAGGCTCCGTGCTGTCAGCACAGAGCCCCACGCGGGGTTCGATCCCGCGAACGATGGGATCGTGACCTGAGCCGGAATCAAGAAATCAGGACGCAGACGCTTCACTGACCGAGCCGCCCAGGGGCCCCGTTCGGCCGTCTTTCTGACCCGGGTCTGTTCTCCTCACGGCCCATCGGCCCTGCTCCCTGCTCGGACCTCGGGGCCTTCAGTGTGTTGTAGCTTCTGTCCCGTTGGCTCAGCTGCGTCGTTGTCCTCGGGGCTGCTGTCTTCCGTGTGACCACGGAAGCCCCCCCAGGCCACATTCACTGACCTTCTGTTACGAACGCCTGCATTGCAGCGTTTGCGACCTGGTCGGCGCACTCTTATTTGTAGCTCCATTTGTGTCCGTCGCGCCCGTTTGAATAGGTACGTTCTCTAAAGCCGTGGCCACGTTCGCTGTTTCTGACATGGCCTTTCGGAGATTGGGCCCGTGCTGGACCCAGAGAAAATACTCAGGACGCCTTTGTCGGGCGGTTACCTTAGAGAAGGACGGAGGGGCAGGCGTGCCCGGGGCTCCAGCGCCACTGTTCTCAGCCGCCCCGGCGCAGACGGTCTGTTGAGTCTCTCGTGGAGAGAACTTTCTAAGAAAGGACTTGGGGAGAGTGTTCAGTGACATGGAAACAGATAACCTACGCGGCGGCTCCTGTTCCCGGTGCCCTCATTTGCCCTTCCTGCCCGGGCACAAGTGTCCTGCGGGAGTCACAGTGCGGAGGTGCGGTCCCGCCCGAGGCGTTCCAGTGAGACGATGGTGGGCGAGGGGTGGACCAGAAATGCGATTTTATTTTCCAGACAGAGAATTTGGGAAAACTTGAAAGTAGAAGAGGATTCAGTTGTTTTTATTTATCTATTTTTGTTAATTTTTTTGAATGTTTATTTTTGAGCGAGAGACAGAGATAGAGACAGAGTGAGTGGGGGAGGGGCAGAGAGAGAGAGAGAGGGAGACACGGAATCCAAGCTGTCAGCACAGAGCCCGACGCGGGGCTTGAACTCATGGACCTGGAGATCATGACCTGAGCCGAAGTCGGACGCTTAGCTGACTGAGCCCCCAGGTGCCCCGATCCAATTCTTTTTAATCCACATCAGTTCTTACTGACCGGTTGGATTTCCTTGGGACTTCCAACTCTTCTGCAGAACATGGGTGTGCATGTGGGTCTAATGCTTGGGGACGAAGGATACGTTTGGTGCCGCGATCCTCGCGGAGTCTGTCATTGCAGTGGGATAAGTATTGTCAAGTTTGCCGGGAACGGTGAAGTCTCACCAGTGCTGTTCTCCGTGTTGTCACTGTATTAATTAGTGCTTCTCCTCTCTCTCTAGCTGTGTTTTACACTCACCCTGTGCTCTGCCTTTTGGGTGAGTATATGGTTCAGTTTTCCGTAACCTTTCTGATTTACGCCTCTCGTCACACACTGTGCAGTGACCGCTGTTTTCTTTCAGTGGCACAACAAGGGGCTCGCTCTCATCTTCTGCATTTTGCAGTCCTTGGCCCTGACGTGGTAAGTGCCCCCTCCCACGTCCATCCCTGACTAACGCAGCTGGAGGAGAGATTAAGCCCCACGGGGTGTGGGTAGGAGGAGAGAGAAACACAGAAACTTCTCAGTTTAGGAATTCTCAATGATGCAGTTGACCTGAGGCTCCGGAGCAGAAGTCTGTGGACTCAGCCCTGAGCCAATAGGTGGCAGTAGTGGTCTTGGGTGACCGGCGGCCAGGGGAGGCCGATTGGTTGTTTGCCTGGGGCGGCATTTTTGTGCTGGGCTCATGGTTGACTTGGAGATGTTATAAATGTCGCTCGGTCACTTATGCCCGGTAAGAGCAAGGACGCTGGAGTGTCACGGGCTGGGAGGAGGAGGCCTGTGAGTCAAGGGGACATTGAAGGCAGGGAGATCGGTACGGAAGGCGTTTTGTCACATTTGTGATGGAAGGACTCACCCAGCAGAAGCTCACAGGGGGGACCGTCAGCAGGAGGTGAGGGGCGGGGACGGCTGTGGGCCGTGGGACCGGCCTGTGCGCTGGGGGCCGTCGGCAAGGCCGGGCAGCTGACCTCGAGCCGCGCACGGCGAGCGGGCGCTGGAGACCCCGTTACTGGGAGCTGGGCCGGGGCAGCAGTTGGGTGCCCGTCACGTCCCGCACCAGGCCGGCAGGGATCGATGGCTGCTGGGACGCGCCTGCAGACTTGCAGAGTTTATCAGGGGCCGACGCCTGCCTCAGCGGTTTCCACGGAGATGTGCTGATCAACCTGCAAAGAAACAGGGCACAGGGGAGGGGCTGCGGCCGTTTTCGAGCTCTTGAGGCTCCACGGGGCTCTCGTTTGCCAGAAATGGCCTCGAGGCTGAAGCTGAGCGCCCATCCCTCCCTCTCGTAATTTTGGACTTTGGGATAAATGGACTTCTCAAGTGCTCTTTGGGATTTGCTGTTCAGAAGTAAATGAGCTTCTGCTCAGGGAGTAAAAAAGGACTGATTTCGACGACACATTTCGGGAGTAGGTGCCAAAAGGACCTGGCTTGATGGCTTATATTTTATTTTTTTATTTAATTTTTCAAATGTTTATTTATCTTTGAGAGAAACAGAGCACAAATGGGGGAGGCACAGAGAGAGACAGAATCCGAAGCAGCTCCAGGCGCTGAGCTGTCAGCACAGAGCTCGACGCGGGGCTCGAACCCACGAACCAGGAGATCATGAGCTGAGCCGAAGCTGGACGCCTAACCGACAGCCCCCCAGGCGCCCCGATGGCATTTTAATTTGGTTCCTTCTGGGGCTGAAATTGGTGCCCACACGCACATGCCTGTCGTACAGACTGAAGTTGAAGCCAGTGTTCACAGGGGCTCAGGCAGAGGGCAGCGTCCCTCCAGTACTGACTGTGTTGTGCTGTTTTCGGGCTGACCGACTTCCCCCGCCCGACACCAGGCCTGGTCCTTTAGGGTTGTGGCCTCCTCTCGGAAGGGGCCGAGCCAGCTGGGATCTCGAAGAATTGTAGCTTGCTCCTATTTTTATCCATTGAGTAGTTGGTGGTGGGTTTTTTTTCTTCTTTTTGTTCTCTTTTCTTTTAAATTTCAGAGGAGCAGAGCAGAAAATTATCCCTGGTGGATAGAAGTTATACTCTGTCGAGGATTTGTGAATATTAGAGGACACACGATGCGGATTTGGTGTTGTTTCAGAACAGGGCTCTGTGCTCTCTGGGTACATGCCATCTGCCGGCTCATTTGGGTCCAGCGGTGACCCTGTGAGGCCGAGGGGACAGGGCACCTCCGTGTGGGCCTTTTGCCCTTCTTCTCTGGCCGCGGACGACCCTCCCTCCCTCCCTCCCCACCTGAACGTGTGGTACAGCTCGTGTTCACGTGTGTGTGCGAACACGTGTGTGCGTGTGCAGCTTGCACGCTGGGGAGGGACAGGGTCGTAGCTCGGGGCCTGTTCGCTCCAGTGTGCAAGCTTCCACTGCCTCCATTTAATTTTGACTTTTGTTTGTTTCCGTCGTAGGTATAGCCTTTCCTTCATACCGTACGCAAGGTAAGACTGACTCTATCTGGGACCGTAACTTCTGTCCCTTGGGGCCAACGGTATGTTCGCGAAGGGCATTTAGTTAGAGTGATTTCAGAGGGTGCGTAGTATCGTCACTAAAATTCTTTGAGACAGACAGGTAAATGTCATGTACCTACTTTATAGATCGGGAAGCCGAGGGCCCTCTCCACGCCGCGCCCCCGTTTCATTCAGGGACGACAGGCATAGACCAGGACCAGGTGGCGTGAACATCTGCTGGGATATATAGCGCGTGTGGGCACACGGTCACTCTCTGCCACTTGCAGCTTGGCGGAGATCTTCATGGTGATTGTCACTCTAATATCACTGAGGAAGGGGGGCGTCTAAGCTCATGCCAGTTTCCTTGCAGTGTCATTGAGAGGGTCTGAGAAGAGTTTATCGAGGGAAAGTAAGCAGGGCTGGGGCTCGAAGGACCAGGGTTTCCTAAAACCTCGCTGGGCCCCTGTGGCCTTAGTGGACTCACCAGTATGGGACCAGATCACGTTCCAGCTTCCACACCGCCTTCGATTGGCACTTCCGGCAACGGCCTGTCAAAACCGGCCACCGGGCAGTGATCTCTGCCCGACTCTGTCCTCACACACACACCCATTTAATTCCCACTTCTCCTGTCATCACCTGTCAACTACAAGAGAAGGCTTTTCCTTAGCTGTTGAGAAGATGGAAAGCCGCACGGGAGCTGGGAAGGAGGAAGCGCGGAGCTGTGTCTTAACGTGTTCCGAGTGTGCCAGCGACAGTGATTCGAAGATGGGGCAGTATCGGGGGTCCGCAAGCCCATCAACACAGAGGCAGCTGTGTGGCTTGCATAGAGGTTCTCGGGGAATAACGGGAAAATTCACTGTGTTCACCCAGTTTGGAGGATGGGGGAGCTGTCTTGGGAAACAGGGTTTTATGTGAAATGAGCCTGAGCGTCCGGTGCGGTATATATGAGCTTGCCAACAATGTGATGGTGTCATCATGCCCGGACCAGTAACCTAGTTTGCAGGGCCCCGTGCAAAGTGGAAACGTGGGCTCCTTGTTACAAACTGATGAAGAATTTCAAGATGGCAGCCACAGGGCATTAACCTAGGTGTGGAACCTCTGAAGTATGGGGCCCAGCAGGAAGCCAGGCCTGCTTGGTCTCGTTCTTCAAGGGCTGCAGGCATGACCTGGATTGGCATTTCTGGAGCTTAGGCACAAGCGACAGAAAGCTACCGTAGCAGTGAGTTTCGGGTGCTGAGAGGGAGGGCAGGAGTCACAGAGGGAGGCCCTATGCGTCTCTTTGTTCCTTTCCCACAGTGTTCCACGGAAATAGTGGTTATGTGGTAGAACAGGGTTCCTTAGTCGGTAAGTTTGGGTGGAGGCTAAGCAACATTGGATGGGGTCCTTGTCACGCCCTTTCCGGGTCCTGTAACGTGCTGTGTGTTGTCAGCTGCCGTGAGGGATCAATCTTACTTGGTTGTAAAACCTTTTCTCGTGCAGAGAATCTCCCAGGGCTGCAGTGTAGAGCGTATCTTAGAAATGTAGCCCTAGGATTATCTTAGTTTGAAAACACAGTGTCCACTCACGCACATGCACGCACTTACCCCTCCCTCCCTCCCTCCTTGGTGCAGGTGCAGCGGCGAGCAGAGGGACTGGGGGTGGGGGCCTGGTGCACAGCCCGGGGTGGGGGGGGCTGGGACAGTAATTGAACACCCACTCTCTCCTTCCATGCCGCACACTGAGTTCTGAGGAGTAAGTGGCTGGTACGGGCCCAGTGCAGCGGGCTAATACTCAGTCACCACAGAGCCCCCTGTGCTAGGGAGCTCCTGACAGCGGTCCCTTAGCAGGTTTCTGCAGCTTGCTTAGGACGAAGAAAGGCCCTAGTGATGATCCGATCTAATGTTTTCGGTGCAGAGACTGATTCTGGTTGATATCGACGTGCACAGTCCTAAGTTCCTGGTTTCTGATAATCTCTACCTTTTCGCCCTGTCTTTTCCTTTGGTTATCGTGAATGGCTATCACTTTGATTATCGTGGATGGCTATCACTTTGGTTATCGTGGATGGCTATCACTTTGGTTATCTTGAATGGCTATCACTTATTAAATACCTGCTCTGTTCACTGTACTCGTTCCTGCGACTGGTCTTTAGGATAAGCGGGACCTCCCATGGGGCATCCCTGTGTACAGATGGGGAGCTTGAAACTCAGCAAGACAGACAACTCGCCCACAGTAATACTAACTCGGAGCTGAGGCTTGAGGCCAGGTAGATTGAGCCGGTGGTCGGGGTGCTACTCTGGGTAACCCGGAAACCGAAAGGAGGAGCTTTACCGCCTGCGGGGCCTTTGGGGTGACGATCTCTCATGTGTGTCTGTGTTCGTCCTCCTAGGGACGCCGTGAAGAAGTGTTTCGCCGTCTGTCTCGCATGACCCACGGGCAGTTTCGCTGAGCTTTGGAAGAAGGCGCAAGGGACGGAAGCCAGTGGACAGTTTCGTAAATACCTTCTAAAACTCTTGCAGCCACGTGCCTTTTCTCTCGCAGCCACATGTTGCTCGTGACGCAACCATTTGAGGGTTGCGTTTGGGGGCGACGGTGTCACGGAATGGGGGGATCTGGGTCGTAGGGAGTAGAATATTCCTCGTGCACCCGTGTGCTCTTTGGATGGTGTTCTGCTGCAGTCCCGCGAATAAACGCCTTGTCAGGCAGCAGCAGATAAGCCGTGGGAGCCACTGATTCCCAGGCGTCGACCGGCAGCCCCACCAGAGAAGGCAGGGGAGCCCCGGTACGGGACAGAGCCTGGGGGGCACCAGGGACTCTGCAGCCGTGCCCTCAGCACGGACACCGTCCCCCCCGCTCCCAGCCTCACACAGCGTGGACACGCTCTGCTCTGGTGTCTGGGGTATAGCGGTTCTCCGCAGCGACCGCCACACGCAAGCCCACGGAGGGACGTGGACACGGAGACGTTTTGGTGACACGTGTTTTTAAATCTGAACCTCGGCCTCCTTTTTCTCGTCTCCCCACCTGACGATGACATTCAGCACACGCTCTTTTTCTCTCGAGGTTCCCCCCCGCCCCCCATCTTTTCTCATGATCTCTTAGAACCAGACTGGGGACAGAGCAGTGACATGCACACTGGAGGTGGAAAGTCTCCCGACTGTATTTTCTCCCCCATTGTTTATAAATGTTGCTTTTGAACGGATCCTGTTTTCCATTCTGCCCTGGAAGGGGGCCAGGGGGCGTGGCTGGGAAGACAGAGCCCCACTGTGGGCTGCAGGAAGGAGGCACGCCTGCCCGGTGACCTTTAAGCAGCGCCAGTTGGCGCACTCAAGCCTGAGCCGCGGGCCCTGGGGCAGGGCAGCCTCAGCCGTCGGGTGGTTCCTTCGCTGGCCCCGTCTACACACAGGGCACGTTGTCCCCTGGACCCCGTCTGGCCTCACCAGAGCCGGGTGACGAGGAGGTGACGGCTCTCTCGCTGGGCCGTCAGGGAACCAGGCTCTGAGAGGTTAGCAGGTTCCCCCGAGGCCACAGCCGGTGGCAGAGCCGGGCCCGGAGTCTGGGTGCCCCTGGGGTGCCTCCTTAACTAGTGTGCCTGTTCTGTCTTCACCAGCCGAGCCCGTGCCTTTTCTGGTCCCGCCCTCTACACCCCTGCCCTGTGTCCTGCCCCGTGGCCCTGTCGGGAAGCTTCCTTCTGGACCCGTAGGCCGTCCGTGGCTCCCTTGGGTGCCCTTCTGGCTCTGCTTGCCTCCTGACGCTGTAGATGCCCTGTCGTGATGGCCGGGGTTCTTGGCATTGCAGGGCCTCTAAAGGGAAGTCTCTCTGGGGTTGCCTTTCTGTTCTCTGCCCCGGTCTGGCTAGTCCACGCGGGTTCTTGCTCCGGGGTCTCCGAACCAGAGGCTGTGGTCCACTCGTGGTCTCCTTGCTTGTGGCCGGTGGCTAAAGTCTTTTTCCTGTTGCATCTGAGAAGCCGAGCCCTCACGGCTGAGAGCGTTTTCCTCTGAGCTGGTCTGAGGACCAGAGCGAAGGAGCCGGTCTTCTCGGGCCTCTCTGGGCGGTGGAGGGAGCCCCGTTTCGCCCCGAGGTCCCCAAGCTGCCTTCAGCCTGAAGGGGAGTCACGCGCTACCTCTGACGTCTGGGGGGCTCTTTCAGCCTCGGGGCGGCTCCAGGAGGTCGTCAGGTCTCCGAGGTGCTCCAGGAAGGGGCCCGAGGGGGTCAGCAGGGCCCGTCGCCCCCTCGCTTCAGAGCTGAGGTGAGGCTAGCCTGCCTACGAGCCCGGCCTGGAGTAACTCAGGACCCGTCCCTGTGGCCGCTTTCAGTGTGTGCACTGGACTCTGGGACACGAGGCGCAGGTGCCCCTGACGGCAGCGGGTCTGTGTGTGGCTGGGGACTCGTCACACGCCCGTGTCGGGCGGAGCAGGTTCCTTGAGCTCTGGCTCCTCACTTCGCTGATCCGTTTAGAAATACAGGAAGTGACAGTTCCTGCCGGGTCATCGAAGTGCATCCCTGAGCAGCGTGTCAGGTGCTTGGCCCGGGGCCCAGTGTGGGTCCAGCCTGTCTCCCTAGGAGGAGGGTGGTGTTACTTAGTCCGAGAGATAACAGATGACCTTTGAAGGGGACGGGATGAGTGTCTCTGACACAGACATTTTTATCTGAAAAACACTTGTCCAGCCTCGCATCCAGCACAGTAGACGTTGGCAAGCCTCGTCTCATTGCGTGTTCGCAGTGACTGCAGGCTGGCGGCCTAGTTTCCCGCGCGGAGAAGGTACAGGGGTCCCTCTGCATCTCCGCAGTAGAGGGTGAGGTTCACGCGTTAAGGCACCCGCTTTGCCCACTGAGTGGCCTGCGTCCGGGTCGCTCGCACACAGCTCCGTCTGGTCAGTGTCGGTAGCTTTCGGATGATCCTGCCTTTCAGAATCTTCCAGACCCCTGCCCCCGCCCCCCTTTGGTTTCCCCTCCTCGTTTCTGCCCGCTGCGCTGTGGGAGGGAGAAATCCATGTCAGATCCGCTGAAATCTGTGACCAGGCAATGGCTCTGCCTGCAAGCACCCTCGGGGGGGGCGGTGGCAAGTGGGGAATTAGGGGCCAGACCCCCCCCATTCACCGCCGGGGGAAGGAGAGGTCAGAGGTCGTTGCATTTTTGGGATGAAGGGACCCATTGAGGCCACTTCTCCAGCACCTGGGAGTGTGCTCCCCGAGGAGGCGCCCCCAGCCGCGTGGGCCGAGTGCCCCGAGCGCCCTTCCCTCCCTGGGCGGTGTTCGCCCTCCCGGTGCCCGGACGGCCGCGGCCCCGCCCTCGGAGCCTGCTGTCTGACCCCCGCCACCCCTCTCCGTCCTGAGAAGGCCGCCCTCCTGCCCGCCGGCCGCGCTCGGGCAGCTCTGGCTCCCGGCCGTGTGTGCACCACCGCTGCCCAGGCCCGGCTGCAGGCTCCCTGGGGACGCGGGAGACCCTCCCCAGCGGGGCATCTCCAGTGGGTTGCTTTCAGCGCTCAGAGCTTTTCTCCGTCATTCTTGTGTGGGGACTTTGCAGGGAACCCCCCTGAGGGCCACCTCCCTCCCACCCCAACCAGGGTGCGCTCGGGAGCAGGAAATAAAACCACGAAAGGCATCTAAATGCACGGTTTTGGATACTTGCGTTAGAAAAGACGACCGAGGGGCACACCCTGGAAACTGGGCGCAGGAGAGACTGGTCTGGGTGCTCCTGCCTCGGAGAGCTCTGGGAGGGGGACAGGTGTGGTCGCGTGACACGTGGGGCGCTGAATTAGGAAACCGAACTCTGCCCGTGGCTCTGTGGGTCCCCTTTTCTGCGGGGCAGCCCACGCCGGGCCTGCCTCCCCTTCTCTTCCCTTGGACGACATCCGACCAGACTCAGCTGCAGGATTGCAAATTAGTCAAAAGTTCACAACCCATCCTTGACCTCGTTTTCAGCAAATAAACTCATGTTTGTAGATTTTTGGCCTACTTTTCTTGATTTTAAAAATTAAAAATTCTTTGGTTGTTTTAAGATGTACCATAGTTTTTCGCAGATGACAGTTTTTAAAAAGCTAGAAGACCTACATCTGAAGTTAAATACAGATTTATATCTGAAACGCTTGACAAGATATTAACAAAATTTAGGAATTTTGATTTTTTGGAAATACTTATTTAAAAACTTGGTTGGGAGGAGGATTAATCGTGTACCTTCTAAGTCAGTTTATGAACTTTATGAAACTCCGATCTGGAGCATTTTTAGTCAAGTAGAAAGTGCAGTTTATTTGGGCCCTGTCCCTTCAGGCTAGTCTGTGTCATCCCGTCTGGGCTCTTTCCCGTTCCGTCCCAGGCCACACCGCGGTCCCTGCTGCACTAGGCTGTGTTCTTGTGTTGGGGGTTCTGTTGTGCAGAAAGGCCTCATGAAGGTCAAAACCCGGGCGGGGATCACGCCCTAAAGCTTGCGGCAGAGCCCAGCAAGGCAGATGGGAGCCCCAGGACCCTTGCTCACGCACCTGACCAAATACAGTTCCGTTCTTCTAGCAGGAGCCGATAGGCTGACAATGGGCCGGGAAGGGCACCGAACCTCTTCTGTGCTGAGCTGAAAGCAGGCAGGAGCGAGTTCGCTGGACACGTGGTAGGTAGTTCCCTCAGGGACCAGATGCGGCTCTTTGAGAGGAAAGGTCAGTCCGTGGCATTGTCATCATCAGCTGCTGCTGATGTGTGTATTTCCAGCGAGGTAACCAAAAAACCATCACTACATCTAGGACAAGCAGTCCCTGATACCAGCGGGCTGCCTGGCCTTAACATCCTCGTGAGGTGTCCTTAATAAAGACCAAATTAAGACCTATCTGGGCAGAACGTTCTCTGCCTGTTGAACTTCTGCACTATAGTTGGTGAGCCTTTATTGCAAGCACAAGCGAATCTTGCTTTCGTATGACTCCCAAAAGGAGAAGCCTAGTTTACATTCAGTGGCCCTTCTGCTGTGAAAAGCGTTTATTTTTGCCTTTTTCAATGTTTGCTTGACTTCGCCACTTTGAACAAGGGAAGGAAACATTTCAAATCCTCCCAGCCCTGATCTTTTGTAAATTCTCATTGTGAAGTTGGGGATAAAAGATGTTCGAAGCCCGTGGCTGATTTACATGCCTTCAGAACATTGTGCCTGCTGTAATACTAACGAGCTTTTAAAACACTGTTAAAATGTGAATCAACTTTTGTGATTGTATAGAGATATTCAGCTAATTTTGAATGCTGCTGATTACACAACTGAGTTTTTTATATCCAAACATAAATTCTTGTCTGCTACTTTTCCTACCTTGAGATTCTGTTTCATACAAGTGGTTTTTGTTTTGTTTTTTAACTAATGCATTTCAAAGGGAAAGAATTTTGCTGGAAATGAAGTTGTTTCCCCCCACCAAACCTAAAGCTGTTCTTAATTTTTCTTTTTTTTTTTTGCTTTTTGTTTCCTTCTTCAATAAATGATAGCATTATGATCGTTAATAAATCTACTATTGTCTCGTATTCATGTTTGTTTTCCCAGGAGTCACTAAGCCAAATAAAGATGGTAGGACTGAAAGATAAGACTGTGTCCTTATTTTGCGTTCATACTATGTAGCGTGGATTGTTAAGCACTTAAAGTTGTTTTTGAGCTAAATTGGTATGTAGTCTTCTTTCTTCAGTGACTTGGGGATAACATGGCTCTACGTTTTGAAGAGTTTCGAAGGTAAGAAATGTCGATGTTTTTATTTTGGAGTATTGTGCAGATGTATACCATGTTTCCTTCATCTGTTCAGCCATTCGTGGACACTTAGGTGGTTTTCATGTCTTGGCTGTGGTAAATGCCACAGAGAACGTGGGGTGAGTTTCAGGGCTTTTGTTTCCTGGGGTTTTAATTCTCAGAAGTGGAACTTACTGGATCATATATTTAGGTTTTTGGGAAACTCCAAAGTACACTTTAAAAAGCACAGTTAAAAGTAAACTTAAAAACAGCAACAACAGCAACTAATAATTCCATTTTTTTTTAATTTAAAAAGAATTTTTAAAACTTCTTTAAAATTTATCTTTGAGAGAGAGAGACAGAGTGCAAGTGGGGGAGGAACAGAGAGAGGGAGACACAGGATCCAAAGCAGGCTCCAGGCTCTGAGCTATCAGCACAGAGCCCGACGCGGGGCTCGAACTCAAACTGTGAGATCATGACCTGAGCCGAAGTCAGATGCTTAACCAACCAAGCCACCCAGCGTCCCAATAATTCTTTAAAATGCCTTAGTCTCCTGAATGATGTAGAAACAGGGTTTGGAGTTACAAACCAAAGTTACAATAATACTAGCTTTTACAATAATCCGGGGTTTTTTTAATGTATTTAAGTATATTAGTGTCTAAAATATAGAAAACAAAAGTATAATACGCCATTCTTTTTTTTTTAAGTATTTTTATTTATTTCTAGGAGAGAGAGAGAGAAACAGCGTGAGCAGGGGAGGGTCAGAGGGAGAGGGAGACAGACTCTGAAAGAGGCTCCAGGCTCTGAACTGGCAGTCAGCACAGAGCCCGACACGGGGCTCGAACCCACGAACCGCGAGATCATGACCTAAGCGAAAGTCGGATGCTTAACTGACTAAGCCACTCAGGCGCCCCTGTAAAAAAAGCCATTTTTAACAACAAAATTAGCTTTCATGGTTGCTCATCTGTTTACATTTGTCAAGATCTCATTTCTCCATTTAGTTTCAAGGTACTTGTCTAGTGTGCTTTCATTTCACCTCTCCGGGCTCCCTTGGGCCTTCTTGCGGGGCAGGTCAAGTGGTCATGAACTCTCTTATCTCTTAGCTTTTATCTGGGAGTATCTTCATTTCATTCTCACTTTTGAAGGGCAGTTTTGTTGGATATAGAATTCTTAGTTGACAAGGTTGTTGTTTATATCTTTTAGCATTTTGAATACATTGTCTTCCAGCCTCCAAAGTTTCTGATGAGAAATCTGCAGATGATTTTACTGAGGATCCCTTGTGTGTGATGATTCACTTTTCTCTTCCTGATTTCAAGATTCACTTGTTTGCCTTTGCCTTTTGAAAGTTTGATTGTAATGGGTCTTGGTGTGGCTGAGTTCATTTTACCTGGAATTCGTTGGACTTCTTGGATGTTTATATTCATGTCTTCTCCTCAAATTTGGGAAGTTTTCAGTCGTTATTCAAATACTCTGTCCCTTTCTGTCTCCTGGGTCACCCACAGTGCTTATGTCATCCATGGTCTCCCAGTAGACCCTGAGGCTCAGTTGACTCTTCTTCAGTCTTTCCCGTTTCTCAGTCTTGTTAATTTCCATTGTTCTGTCTTCATGTTTACTAACTCCTCCTCCTGCCTGCTCAAACCTGCCTTTGAATTTCTCTAGTGAATTTTCAGTAGTTGTACTTTTCAGTGTCAGAATTTCATCTTTTTTTAGGCTTTCTATCAAAGAATTTTTTTAAGGGGCGCCTGGGTGGCTTAGTCGGTTAAGCGTCCGACTTTCGCTTAGGTCATGATCTCACGGTTTGTGGGTTCGAGTCCCGTGTCGGGCTCTGTGCTGACTGCCAGCTCAGAGCCTGGATCCTGTTTCAGTCTGTGACTCCCTCTCTCTCTGACCCTCCCCTGCTCACGCTGTCTCTCACTCCTAGAAATAAATAAAAACATTAAAAAAAATTAAAAAAAAAAAAACCAAAGAATTTTTTTAAATGTTTGTTTATTTGTGAGAGAGAGACACACAAAGTGTGAGCAGGGGAGGATCAGAGACAGAGGGAGACACAGAATCTGAAGCAGCTCCAGGCTCTGAGCTGTCAGCACAGGGCTTGATGTGGGGCTCAAACTCACGAAAGGTGAGATCAGACCTGAGCCAAAGTCGGACACTTAACCGACTGAGCCACCCAGGTGCTCCGAGGCATTCTCTGTATTGATATTTCCATTTTGTTCACATGTCATTTTCTTGACTTTCTCCACATCATCTTTTAGTTCTTTAGGCATCTGTAGGGCAGTTGTTTTAAAATCTTTGTCTCATCTATCTGTCATTAAGTCTTTTTCAGGGACAGATGCTGTTGAATGATTTCCTTTCAATGGGCCATACTTTCCTGTCCTCGCATTACTTATGATTTTTTGTTAAACACTGGACATTTGGATATATTTGAATATAGTAATGTGGTAACCTGGAAATCAAATTCTCTCTCCTGTAGGGTTTGCTATTTTTAGTTTTTTGGGGTTTTTTTGTTTGTTTTTTGGTGTTTTCATTGTTGTAGGCTGTCGTGCCTAGGACCAGCCTGAAGGGTAGTCTTTCCTGAGCCTTAGACATGCATTTTCTGTTCACTCCCCAATATGTCATTGGTTTTTAATGTTCTAGTCCTATAATGTATGGCTCCCAAGGGGGAAAAGAGAGAATGAAGGTGGGTGGGGAGAAGGTACTGGCCCTTTAAACCTCCAGGAAGTGACTTCAGCTGGAGGAGGGGAGAGCTTGCTGGAAGTGTGGAGGTGCAACAACAATGGCTGCTTACCTCTTTGTGTGCACCTCTGTAGTAAGGAGTAGCAGTCAGCCATCAGAGCACAGATCTCCAGTATTAAAGGTCACTGTCCTCTTCTTCTACCCTAGCTTTCACAGCCTGTGGGTGGCCGCCCCAGGAACACGTGCGCAGCTGCCTGCCGGGTGACTAGGGGTGAGGGATGGGTGGCTGGTCCTGTGCTAAGAGCTGAAATTCACCGAAACTAACAAGGTTACCAGGGAAACCTTCCCCTGGAAGTTGCAAGGCTTCAGCACATTCCAGAGTTCCAGTTAGATTGTTCAGTGCAATTGTTGTCTAGGTGGAAAGATAGATTTCTGGTTCTTCCTGGTGTGACATCCTTCCGTCTTCCTAGAGTCCTCCGCAGCAGTCCATTGTCTCTTTACTTTCATGGTTTCTGATAAGATGTCTGTTAATGATAATCAGTGCATCTTTGAAGGCAAAGTGTCTATTTTTCATCATTGTAGTTAGTTTTCAG